AAAAAAAAAAAAAAAAAAAGTTTCCATCTCATAATGTTTAGTGAGTGAGGAAACAGATGCAGTGACTTGACGGAAGTCACACAGCGCTACTTAGGGTAGGGCTAGGACTGAGACCCAGGTGTACACTGGGGCCTCCCTTGTGGCGCTTATAAGATAGGCTTGGAGGAATTGAGGGAGCGAATGAGTGAATTTGGGAGGGGTGAGTGAAGTGACATGTACCCTGCCAGCCATCCCTCCTGACTGCTCTCTCCTCCCTGTAGCCATCAGGGGATTCTGGGCTGCCCGCCCCTCCCTCTCCATCGTCTACTTCCTCTTCGTCATCTTCATGGTGTCTGTTGTCTTCCACTGCCACCAGCGCCTGGCTCTGGTGCCCGCCCCCTGGGCGTACTCAGGCCGTGTGGTGCTGGCCCCCAGACAGCTCCCCCAGGAGGGCCTGTTCACTGTTAATGCCCAGGGCGGCCTGGGGAACCAGATGGGCGAGTACGCCATGCTGTACGCCCTGGCCAAGATGAACGGGCGGCCCGCCTTCATCCCCCGCAAGATGCACAGCACCCTGGCCCCCATCTTCAGAGTCACCCTCCCAGTCCTGCACAGCGCGACAGCCAGCAGGATCCCCTGGCAGGACTACCACCTGAGTGACTGGATGGAGGAGCGCTGTCGCCATATCCCCAGGGAGTTCGTGCGCCTCACAGGCTACCCCTGCTCCTGGACCTTCTACCGCCACCTGCGCCACTAGATTCTTCAGGAATCTCCACGACCATGTGCGCGAGGAGGCTCAGGCCTTCCTGCGGGGTCTGCAGGCCAAGTGGGCCCAGGAGGTGACCTTCGTGGGGGTCCATGTGCGCCGGGGGGACTACGTCTGGATCATGCCACAGGTATGGAAGGGCGTGGTGGCCGACCAGGGCTACCTACAGCAGGCCCTGGACTGGTTCCGTGTTCGCCACCGCACCCTGGTCTTCGTGGTCACCAGCAACGACATGGCCTGGTGCCGGAAGAACATCAATAGCTCCCTCGGGGACATGGTGTTCGCTGGCAATGGCCTTCAAGGCTTACCCACTAAGGACTTTGCATTGCTCATGCAGTGTAACCACAGCATCCTCACCGTGGCTACCTTTGGGATCTTGGCCGCCTACCTTGCGGGCAGAGACACCGTCCACCTGGCCAACTTTACCTTGCCTGACTCCCCCTTGCACTGGGTCTTTAGGCCACAGGCAGCCTTCCTGCCAGAGTGGGTGGGCATCGCTGCCAACCTTGACCAGGCCCGACAGAATGATCACTAGCTCTATACGTGTCCCTCCTTCATCCTCAGACCCTCAGAGGCAGTGTGTGTGGGGTGCAGTGTGTGGATTCAGGATCCCACATGCAGTTTGAATCCAGACTCATCTACTTCGTAGCTGAGTGACTTCAGACAAGTGACTTAGCATCTTAGTGTGCCAACTGAAAAACGAACATACCCCAGAACTTACCTTAGCAGCGCCTCAGGAGAACTCCACAGGGTCATTTCAAGCCAGTGCCTTGTAAGCACTGGGAGGCATGGGCTGCTCACACAGGAGGCATACCATGGGCATCCAGATTTCCTCAAGATGGACACATTTGCCCTCTTCTTCCTTGCAGCACTGCCTGCATGGATCCAGGTATTTTTATACTTGAGGGGTGGGGTGTGGTGGTGGAGCTATCCTTGCCCTGGAGTAAACAGAACTAGACTTTGGGGCAGCTAGGAACTTAGGTTTTGGATTTAGCAGGCAGTACCATGAAAGAACACGAGGGAAGACAGGATTTGAGAGTTGGGTCTCAGGGGGATGCCCATGGTGGGGAGACACAATTCCCCTGCTCGGACGAGGAGAGGGGCTCAGCTGCAGGCAGCACCTGGGGCGGGAGGCCTCACAGTAAGGGAGCCTCGGCCACTGCAATGGTAAATTGACGCACATGCTCATATTTGAAGTTTCTTTGATAACCGACAAGGAACACTACACCAATAAAAATGCTGACATTGCCACACCTTACAATACAGCGAACACAGAAAAACCAGCACTGCCATCGCTCCATCCAACTCCCACCTGTGCCGGGATGTCTCGCTGTAGTGTCAGGTCCTGGGGGCTCAGGCAGAGCCTGAGTGTGAGATGTCTCTATCAACCACTGTCCACAAGGCCTGCTGCTGCGATGGTTGTGGTCAGCTCTCTATGGCCCTTGGAGTCAGGCTACTGCTTCTACGACGTGTGCACTGGCTTAGGGGACAATTCAGCCACATATCTTTCTGGTTTGAAACTCTTTCCAAGTCTCTTCTTCCTACTTCTTGCCCTTACTTCTGAGGCTGAGCAGCTTTTTGCTCATACAGTAATAATACTGTATACTCCCAGAGCCACTGTGGGCCCTGGTCAGCTTCCTTCCGTCTTTGATGTAGTCATCATTGTGGGGGCGGTTAAAGCAGAAGGAGAGCCTGAGTAGCTCTGCCTGGGTGTCCAGTGAGATTGCTGTCAGCGCTTACCCAGGCTACGCCCCCCGAAGGCTCACCTGGGGCTGAGGCTGTGCTTGCATAGCTGGTGAGTGGGTGCTGGCCCCTGATGTGGCTGTGGGGTGCTTGGGTTCCTCGCATGGCAGCTGGATTCCTCCAGAGAGAAATCCGAGTGACCTGGGTGGAAGCTGCAGTGCCCTGTCTGACCTAGCCCGAGGAGTCATCCACTGTCACTTCTGCCGTATCCCGTGATCACAGAGAGCAGCCCTGCCTCCACACAGGAGGGGTTATACAAGGACACGAGTCTCAGGTGAGACTCATGGTGGAGGCTGCTGGATTCATTTGCTGGAGCTGCTGTAACAAAGCAACATAGAGGGGGCGACTTAAGCAACAGAAATTGATGGATTCACAATTGTGGGGACCAAAAGTCCAAGATCAAAGTGTTGCCAGAGCTGGTTTCTTCTGAGGCTATGAAGGAAGGATGTGTTCCAGGATTCTGTCCTCTCCTCTAGCTCCTGGTGATCTCTTGACGTGAACGTGAACGTCAAGAGATCACCAGGAGCTAGAGGAGAGGACAGAGGCCTGGAACACATCCTTGGCTTACAGATGGTCATCCTCCTGTGTCTTCACATCATCTTCCCACTCTGTGTCTGCAACCAAATTTCTTCTTTTTTGTTTTTTGAAGACAGGGTCTGAGTTCTTCATTCAGGTTGGAGTACAATGGTGCGATCATAGCTCATTACAGCGTCGAACTCCTGGGCTCAAGTGATCCTCCTGCCTCAGCCTCCCTGAGTAGCTGGGACTACAGGCACACACCAACATACCCAGAAAATTAAAAAAAAAATTTTTTTTAACAGATGGAGGTCTTGCTATGTTGCCCAAGCTGGTCTTGAACTCCTGCCTTGGCTTTCCAAAGTGCTGGGATTGCAGGTGTGAGCCACTGTGTCTGACCAATTTCTTCTTCTTATAAGGACATCATCATGTTGGATTAGAGCCCATTCTAATTCTCTGATTTTAACTTACTTAATTACTTCTGTAAGTATCCTGTCTTTGAACACAGTTACATTCTGATGTACTAGGTGTTATGACTTCAACATAACAAATTTTTGTGAGGGCACAATTCAGCCCACAGCAGCTGCCTGCAGGCTGCCAACCTCGGCTCCCAGCCCTTCCCTAGAATTGGATTGTTAATTCATTTTCTCCTCGTTCTCTTGGGACCAGCCCCTCCCCCTAATTTACCTTAGCCAGGATAGTTTTCCAAATTATTCCTTCTGGAGAGACTCAGACTAGGAGGTTAGAGGAATCTCAGATCTGACCTCAGGCCCTCTGTCAAGTGAAGTGGAGAGCAACTATCTCATATTTAAATAAAATACCTGTGAACTTGCCAGGCGTCTTTCTCTTGCCCCTCCAGATCTCTTCTCTATCTTGCTTTGAGCCCCAGGAAGCTGGCTGATGACATCCATGGACTCCCTTGCCCTATGGTTTATGGATGGGTTGGGTCAGTGATGGCCCAGTCCAGTAATTGGAGGAGGAGGGAGGGTGCAGTTGGCATCTGTTATCGCAGCTCAGTCCCTGTTGTCCTGGGGATGGTGACAGCTCCCCCTGCTTCTCACCCAGGGGAGCTGCAGCATCTCTCACGTTGGTTTTTCTCCAGCCAACCCACACCTTTGTCAGTCAGTCATCCTGTTAAATTCACCTCCTGGGTGTTCTATCTCCTGCCCTGGGTGTTCCATCTCCTGCTGGGGCCCTAACCTATGCTACTGGTATTTTGGTATCTTACAACAGAAGTTTCTGCGATGGTATTTCACCTTGACTTTGAAATCACTAGCTGAATTTCTCACCAGCTTGCAGGATGAGCACTTGTTGATTTGCTGAAAATAAGGCAGAGATGTGATATTTCTTGCAGACTTGACTTGGAGAACAGACTTAAAACCTATGGAGTGATCACAGCTCCAGTCCCAAGGGATAGGGAGCTGAGCGCTATTTTCCTGTCCTGGTCTTTCCTTGCACATCCTGGGGACAATGTAGATGCTGGAGGAAGATTCCAGAGACCTGTCTTCAAGCCTCTCTCCTACAAGTTATCAAGACGTGACACCAAGACTATTATAGGAAGTGGCAACTTTATTATGCCGGTGGGCTCAAAGGGCTAATGCTTCCAGGTCGAGTCCCTAGAACAGGAGCAGTGGGGTCTTATACCTTTGTTTAGGTAAGGGAGGCAGTCGTGTTGAGCAATTACACATTCTCTTTGGAATTTACAAGGTTGTGTTCAGAAAAATCAGATCTTTGAAAGAACAAGTGGTCTCTAGGAAGCGAGCATGGGTTGTAAACTGATAAGGAGAGCAGTTGTGAATCAGGTACACTTCCTTTTGCATTTCCATGAGAGCTATCAGTCTCTAGCCATTTGGGCTTTTTCAAACAAAACCAGCCTGGTGGGTCTTTAGAGCTTGCCGCTTGACTTTCACAAGGAAATACCTTTAACTGCTGCCAGCTCCCTTCCCGCTCCATCCTCCCCTTTGATGCTTGATTTTTCATGGATCTAAAGCATCATCATCCTTAATCTGGTGCATTAACATTATATGGACCTCAGTTTTCGCTGAACTGTTTTCACAAACTTAGAAATGGTGTTCATAATTATTGGGGTTATGCAAGGGAGGATAAGACAGGATCCCACTAATAGGACTACAGATCCAGTAATATACTTAAATCCTTCCAGACCCGAGAACATGTTTTTAAACAATTGCCAATTTTTATGCCTTGCCATTTTTTCACTGGGACATGGGCAAGCTTTCTAATATTGGTGGCTATATCAGTTATTGCTTTACTATTATCATCTATTTGCAAGCAACAGTCAGAGCTGTTAAATTTACCACATACTCCTCCTCCTTCCGCCAGCAGGTAGTCCAAAGCTAAGCGGTTTTGATAAATAGTTGCGCGCATTTGGGCTTGCTGCTGAGTAACAAGCTCAAAAGCCATGGCTGTTTGATTAGTTATAATTTTTAAGACAGCTTGTAACCTAATAATGTGGTTTACCATATATATAGCCATGTGGTATCCCCAACTTCCATTTTGTGTCCATGTGCCTGGACCATAGGTATTTATAATTCTCTGGGGTGGCCATTTGTTATCTTTCCAAACCTGGGTCCCTCCTATATTAGGAACTTGGTCAAGGGATCGAGCATTTCATGATTTGAGGCTTTCATAAAGGGAAATGCCTAGTTCATGCCCCCTTGGGTTAGGCAGAAGGAAAAATCCTGGATGGATTATTCCTGTGGTACATGTACCTTTCCATAATGCTGGGAGCTGGGCATATGCAACCTTTTCACATATCCAAAATAACCTTCTAGGAGCTTTCCAGAGGTCTGGATTTACAGAGGACAGATTTGTCCAGTTCTGACTTATAATGGGGATACCTTGGACCTGATTAGCCTGTTTAGAAGATAGTACTGTACAGTTACTTATAGTTTGGGTGACAATAGTACATTGAGAAGATTTAGTTGCATAAGCAGGTGCCCAATACCAAACAGACCTTGTTGGCCACCAGGTCTGGTGAGTTGAATTCCAGTATAATATTGTTTTGCAAGGAGTTTCTTCTACCCATTGAGTATAAACAGAGCCTGCTCTGCTTAAACAGTCTTCTCTAATTACTTTTGAGGAGAAGATTCACTTTTGGGGTATGTTATCTGTTCTAACAGTTACAGAAGGTTCCATTGGAGGAGCTGATACGCATCCAGACTAGTTCCCTTCCAAGGCCACTCTTCGGTCATTAGGGCTCCTCCACATACCCAACAACTGGTGACACCAAGTGTCCGGGCTGTATTTTCAGCCAAA